CTAGTAGCGATGCCAGGAGTCCCTAGTAGCGTTCTTGTTCCTAGTAGTAAGGCCAGGAACCCCTAGTAGCAGCGTCCTTGCTCCTAGCAGCGATGCCGGGAGTCCCTAATAGCTTCTTGTTCCTAGTATATAGTAAGGATGTGTTGAGTTCAACCGTTTCGGTTTCCGCTTTTCGTGTTTTTTTTCTGCACTGCAAAGTCTTGGAGACACCGAGCTTTGACCATCTCTGAGCCTCCACGTCCAGGACATGCTCGAAGGGATCCATGTGCAACCGACGACGTTGATGGGGAGGCGAGGGGCTCTGAAAGTACTGTGGGCAGGACGTCGTGTTGGACAAGAACTTGCCAGAGCAGATGTGAAGCGTTTTGTTTCATAAAACCACACGGAAATCATTTTGTCTGGTTCGACCCGAGGCCAAGTCGGCAGGACGGGTGACGAAACGGGGTGAAAGAACGATTGCTTCCAAGAGCATTTTAAACTGTTTTGTTTGGAAGAGAACTGGTCCCAGTAGAAAGCTTTCTGAGAACTGCTCCGAGTGGTAACTCGTGGTAACTCGGAGGCTTGCTGCTGCATAGACGGCAATTATGAGTTCCCCGTGGAGCAGATCTGACGACGCGAGTCGAACCTGAAAGGTTTGGCGCGAGCCGCGCTGAAAGAAGCTTTACTGAATAGGTGTCTTAGTGTCGCAGTTGTGGCTTAGCATCAGCACCTTGTGCGCAGTGAATATCTTCGAACAAGAATCGGACGTTTCAACAGTTAAAGCGAGAATGCCCTCAGTCGGCCTCGTCAACACAGCCTTGCGCATGTCATGACGAGTCCTATCGGCAAGGTGACCCAGTGGTTGCCACATGGGCCTTGCGCCATGCGCTTGACGCAGGATGCAACCGATGCATGATATGCATGATGCGCCGTTGCGCAGCTGCGTTCCAAACCACCTGAGGTGGTAGTGGTGATGTGCAGCGTGAAATTCAAAGTGCACCTGAGGTGTTTTCCCTTTTTGCGTCGAATCAAACAATGAAAAACATCCATGTGCTGAGTCGTCCGCAAACTCACTCTAAGTCGGCGAGAAAGCAAACTGCCAAATATGCAACGTTGCGATAGTGGATTACATTGAGAGTTTCTTTAGGCGAAGAGCTTCCGAGTGATGCGAAGTTGAGGACGGAAAGACTAGATGGAGATTTTGCACACCCTTGCACTCTTTTACTAGGAACAAGAACGCTAGTAGGAGCAAGTGCATCGCTTCTAGTAACAAGTGCCTTACTAGTAGTAACAAGAAGCTATTAGGAACAAGTGCCACGCTAGTAGTAACAAGTGCCTTACTAGTAGTAACAATGTTTGCTATTAGGGGCTCCTGGCCTTTGTTGGAAACTGTAGATCCTGGAGGAAAGACCATGCATCCCTTGCGCGCGTTTTAAGCTTAGAAAGTTGCTTTGAATGACCGTACTTTGAAGCTATTATTTCTTTGCTTGCTTGCTTGTTTTTTTTTTTGCGTTGGTTTGTTTTGCTTGCTTGTTGTCAACTTCGACTCTGCTGTCATTTTTCCACGTGGCCGAGGCTGAGAACGCAGTCCAAAGAGACCCAGGGACGACATGAAGACTCTGATGAGGACCTTCCAGGTGCTTAAGACGAAACTAGTAGTAAGGCCAGGAGCCCCTAGTAGCTTGTTGTTACTATTTGTTACCAGTAGTAAGGATGCTCCTAGTAGCGATGCCAGGAGCGCCTAGTAGCGTCCTTGTTCCTAGTAGTAAGGCCAGGAGCCCCTAGCAGCTTCTTGTTAATGATATGATATGTTGTGTTTAAACGATGGCCGCCAACCTACTAGTGATGGCTGCCAAGCTGATCTTTTTAAACTGTGCTGAATTCCTGACAGATTCCTTGCAGGTGCTGGTCTTATGCAAAGGGAAAGGACTACTTCAAGTTGCGGAACAGAAGGACCTCACCGACACTTCTGCCCCACTGGCAAGTTTTCTCCAAAAAGCAGGGCAATCTCTATGATCTAAGCTTTGAATCATTCGATCCAGGTTCTCGCCGGAGCAGCGCTGCTTTCTCAGCAAACGATGTTTGATGATTTGGTTTCTGAAAGACCTTTTTTTTCTCACCACACATATCTGCAGAGTGCTTCTCATGTATGATTTTGACCCGCAAAAGCAAAAAGAAACCGTAGTTAGTTGGTGTTTGGTCATGTCTGTCATGCAAAGCTAGTAGTAACAAGTGCATCGCTAGTAGTAACAGGTGCATCGCTACTAGTAACAAGAAGCTAGTAGTTTAATTCTTGTTTCTAATAACGATGCTTTCCAGGTCGGTTGACAAGTCGCGTTCCGAACGTTCGGATTCGTGTCAAGGATTCGTCCGCAGGGAGCTCGGTCGGTTACCCGTATCAAAAGCCATAGCAGTTGGAAAGCATGGGAAGATGTGGGAAGACAGGTAAACAGTTAAGAAATGGTCGTTGATGCTGATGTTAATGAAAAATGAAGTCCAAACCACCTCGAACAAAGAGCGTTCTTGTTCAACAAGCGCTCTTCAGGTTCTTCTTTTTGTTTGAATCCTCTAGGCTTTTTTTGGTTTCTTTCTTTCTAATTCCTTTGGCCTCAGTGACTTTTCGATGTTTGATCTGCTTGACTACTTGATGCTGCCTTGCTCGTGCTTCCAAGCGCACAAGGCTGCTGGAGACAGCAAAGATGCCACCTTAGATATTGCCACCGAAAGCTTGGTTACTTTCGTTTGCTACAGTGAGTGTAAACAGCTGCAGCTTGATTTATACACTGTTTCTGGCACAAGTGCAACTGTAAAATCCTTGGTGCCCAGGAATGCATGTCACCACTTTCGATTGGTTTCCTGGTAGACCTTGCCAAAAGCAGCACTCAAGCACATTGGGCCACATTGTGAATGACAGAAAAGCCACATCAAGCTCTTCACTAAACTCGAACTTGTGAAGCCAATATATGAGCTGAAACCAAGGGCTTAATTGTTCGCTTAGCTTGATTTTATTTGGCTGCAGCTTCTGACAGTGGCGCTTCAGGATTTTTTACAGTCAGTGCCAGATTCTTCGCCGCTTTCTGTCCATGCCTTGGCTCCACCAAGATCTACGAAAAGGAACAACATCTGACACTAATAGCCATGGCCTGATACCTACTAGTGATGGCCTCTAACCTAATAATCCGAATAGCAATGGCCTCCATCTACAAAAAGGAAACACATGACCCTTCAATGACGTTCAGTTTATGAAAATCGGATAATGGATTCACCTGATGGACATAGCAGACACCTGTTGCAAGGACGCTACTAGGGGCTCCTGGCCTTACTACTAGTAACAAGAGGACGCTACTACAACCTCCTGGCATCGCTACTAGGAGCAAGGACGCCAGTAGGGGCTCCTGGCCTTACTACTAGCAACAAGAGGACGCTACTTGGGGCTCCTGGCATCGCTGGTAGGAGCATCCTTGCTACTAGTAACAAGTTGCTAACAAGTTGCAGATGTTTGCTCCGAGGAAAAGCCCGTCTGCTTTGACCCGTCTGCTTCCTCCCGTCGCCTCGAGGCCGATGGGTTCCGCGGGTGTTCTGTGGTCGGACTTGAGGGATCTTGTTACTAAGTAACAAGCCCTAGGGCCCCTAGTAGCTTCTTTGTTCGGGATGCCCTCGTAACGCCCGATCGCTCCTAGGAGCTGGTGGGACGACGGCGCCGGGAAACTGAAATGCTGTTTCAGCGGTGGAGACTGCGCTCATGGCGCCTCAAAAGGCAATTGCCGTCCTTTTCATCACTCCTCATAGAACTGGCCCTTGGGGGGACTGCGCGTATCCCCAGGGTCTTTGTGCAGCAAAATCGACGATTAGCACAGCTTCTTACGCCTGCGCATACACACTCCTACACAGGTGTGCGCGCGAGGGTCTGATGGAAAAAGCCTGGAAACCTCAGCTTCAGACACTCGTACGCACATGCACACGCACCCGCGCGCGCTCGCACTCGCGCACACGCACTCGCGCGCACTCGCACTCGCGCTCGCGCGCGCGCGCACGCACACGGGAGCCGCGCGCGCGTGTGGGTGCGGGCGCGCCCAATGTTTTAGACAAAAAGACTTTTTTTTTCGCTTTCCACATTGGGATACCTATCAAAAAGAAAATTGATTCCTATCAATAAAAAAAAGTGTTTCCTATCAAAAAACATTAATTCGTATCAAAAAGAAAATTCCCTCTACTCCTTTGGTCCTGGCCTGCTGCAGTCCCTGATCGCTTGGTCCTTTGCTCCCTTTTCCTGGTCGCTGGTCCCCTGGTCCCTTGTTCCCCCTGGTCCCTTGGTCCTCTGGTCCCCTGGTCCTCTGGTCCCTTGGTCGCCTGGTCCCTTGTCCTTGGCGTCCTCTGGTCCTTCGTCCTGGTCTTCGGGTCCTTGGGTCTGCACTTTCGAGGCAAGACGCGTTGAAGGTGATTTGGAAATTTGGTCATACATCCTGTGAAGCACTGTAGCAGACCTTTTATCACCAGACGTAGCAGACCTTTTTTGTGAGCCACCCTGACGGTAAAAAGTGAATGAAGAAGGTGCCATTCCAAGGTAGCAAACCTTTTGTCAGCCACTTGAGGGCAAAATTTAGAAGAAGAAGGAGCCATTCCAACGTTGCAGACCTTTTGTTAGCCTTGCGAGGTAAAATCCAACGTAGCAAGCCTTTGTTTTGTGAGCAACCGCGCCAATCTGCACTTCGAGGTTCAAGTGCTGCGCCTGCAATGAAATCTGCAGTTCCAGTGCACAAAGTGCTGCGCCTGCCACGAGCCCTGCAACGGAAGGTGCTCAAAGTGCTGCGCCTGCCACGAAATCTGCAGTTCCAGTGCGCACAGCGCCGCTCCTGCCACAAAACCTGCCACTGGAGGTGCTCAAAGTGCTGCGCCTGCCACGAAATCTGCAGTTCCAGTGCGCAAAGCGCCGCTCCTGCCACAAAACCTGCCACTGGAGGTGCTCAAAGTGCTGTGCTTGCCACGAAATCTGCACTTCCAGTGCGCCAAGTGCCGCTCCTGCCACGAAATCTGCTACTGAAGGCGCTCAAAGTGCTGCGCCTGCCACGAAATCTGCACATCCAGATTCACATCGCGCAGCGCTGCCAAGGCGGTTCGCAGTGGCAGGCGCAGCTCTTTGCGAAAGGATATTTTTTTTCATACTAATTAAGTTTCTTTTTGATAGGATATAGAAAATTTTCTTTTTGATATATATATATATATATGGGAGTTGATCGAAAACCCCGTGTAAGGAGTTTTATATAAAACAGCCTTTCAGATGTTGTTAGAACCATCCGCGAAAGATTCGCGATGAGGTTCGCGAAAGTATCTTTTTTTTTCCGCGAAAGATTTATCGAAGGTCATCGCTTTCATTGTTTTCCTTTCTACCGGACTGACAAAGAATAGAAACGCAAGGCAATCCTCCGGCAGAGCCAGTGGGCGGAAGTGTCCCCATATGTCACAGACTAACGAACTGAAGCCTCAACATTTCCGTGCCGAGCCCTGGCAGTGCGTAAAGGATTCTCCGATTCCTGTCCCCACTGTCACAGGCTAGCAATCTGGGTAGGCACAGCCCTGACAGTGAGGCAACGACCTGCAGCTGCTCTGACGGGCTGCGCAGATGTTTGCAAATGTTACGGCTTCCCGGGGAAAGCACCAGTGAAATTTCGCGAAAGATCCGCGAAAGTTTCGCGAATGTGCCGCTAAAGTCTAGGTTCCCAGCTTGAGGCCCCCCAACATTCCCCAAGCTGTATCACCCTGTGTTGGTAGCTGGCACGAGGATTGGGTTGAGTTGTGCCTGACTCTATTTGGCACAATTGTCGAACAGATGCTGCAAGTGACCCTGAGTAGCTGTGGAAACGTTCAACCATCTACTGGGGTCATGCTGCAAGATGTCTCTCCCTATTTTGTGATACTATGACATGTTCCGGCTCCTGTTGGCTAGACATGGTTGTAGGACCATGCTTCGCGATGAGGCCGCGAAAGATCCGCGAAAGATATCTTTTTTCCGCGATGAATGGCCATTCCAGGATGAAAGAATATTGATCAACCACCATATATTTATTTATTTTCTTTTTGATAGCCCGGCCGCTTTCCACCACAAAGGCCTGATGCTTGAAGAAGCCCAGGTGGTGCTAGAAATGTCGGCAGCAAGCCGACCTTTTGAACATCACCAGGACGTATGCATTTACTTGAAAAAACGTCAAAAGCAGAGGAAAATGATAAAACAAAGGCAACTGTGGAGCTTTTTGTTTCAAAAACTCTAGAACATAAAGCATTCAAAATGGAGACAAACTTTGAGGGCAAATTTTGGTCGAGCATCACTAGCATGAGCAGAGTCTCAGCAGGAAAGATGCAAATCCTTTGGTGCATGACTAGGTGCAAACCAGTGTAAATTATGGTGATGCTAGAAATACGGGTCGGCGGCATGGAGCACGTCTCCGTATGGCAAGCTAGGCTTGATACCCCCACCGGATCGGCTTCGCCAGATGGGCTAACGCCCAGGTGCCGCCGACCCCTATGTGGTTCAGTCAATCAAAGCAAAGAGGTGCAACTTGCAAATACGAAGCGGACACATGATGTCTCTCAAATGTTGCTCATAAGTTGCCAGACAGCATGAGTTTCAATTGCCTTTGGAAAGCCAACCGCGCTTGAGTAAACCGTGTAAATTTACCAGCGCTGCCTCGTGAACATGTTCACAAGCACGACACTTCCACCAAGATTCCTATTCCCTTCACTGCGCCCCCTGCTCTTAGCACCGACGCGTTCCAAGGCAAGAGTCCAGCCTCCATCCTGCCCACCCTAGTGGCATGGCCCTATGGGCCCTAGACGCCCTATAAGCGATGCCAACGCCTCAGTGTCGCCACACCGACACACCCTGGCCGTGGAGGTTTCAACCGGTCTGGGGGCGAGCTTTGGCCAGTGTCTAACGTCGCCTTCGGAACACCATCAATACAGTAGTGTAGGATGAGCCCCAGCTACCTGCGAAAAGCAGCCCGCGGCCGCGGGGCATGAGCCACCAAAGCTCGCCACACCAAAGCCCTGGCCCTGGAGGTTTCGGGGCTGGGAGCGACCTGGCTGACTAACGTTGCCTTCGGAGCACCCTGGAAACTGTAGTCGCGGATGAACCACAGCTACCTGCGAAAAGCACCGCTTCGCCCGGACACCATGTGAAAAACTCAGTCTAGGCGTCAGCTAGGCAGGGGTCGGCGGATTTTCTTTGTCAACGTGTGTTGACACTTACATCACTTCTTTCTTCGGAATGAGGTCGAATTCAGGCGGTCTCACGCAAGTTTCGGAGAGCGTCCAGGTCTTATTATTTCCCAGACCTAGCCGTCCAGGTTGACCGACTCGGCTCATCCAACATTTGGCTGCCAGAGCTCAACAGTCTGGTCGCAAGTAAATTTGGTTCTTTGCGAAGCCCTTGAGGCTTCCCAGCTTTCGTTCTGAATTCAAATCCAGAGCTGCCGAGGAGGCGCGTGAACTGTAGAAGTGTGACCAGACATTTTGGAGGAGAATGCTTGGATAAATTTTGGAAGGAAGGCAGCTGGAGACATATCGAAGCCTTGTGAGTTCTGACCCATAGGTCCTCTCTTCCCTTCCCTTTCAGCCATGCAAGATGGTGAAAAGGACTGTTGGGCATCTGCTCCCACAAGTCACCTAAAGCCTGTATATACTTTAGTTAATAGATGAGTGTTTTGCACAGTAGACTGGAGGACCAACATGCGATTTTGCATTTTCACATTTGCTCATTGCCACGTTTGGAGGCAGATGAAGGAGGTGCTCGGACCACCAGGGCCACCAGGGCCACTGTGGGTTTCTCAGTCTCAGCAACTGCACAGACACGTTCCTTTCTTCGGGACGTAGGAGAAGCAAATGTTGGGTGCTCAAACGGTTTCATTCCATCCTTCTCGGTGAGGCCCCAAAGCAGACAGAGAAAGGCAGGGGGGGTCAAGATGTCACATTGTGAGTCTTGGCAGTTTATCTGGTACTCGTACAGGCTTTCTTGTGGGATGGTGGTTCACACTTTCAAAATGCACTGAAGACAACAACTGCACATAAAGCAATGATGCTGGCGATGCGCCTTTTGCATGAACACAATGCAAGCAATGCAATTTCAATGCGTTGGTATCACCGATTTTGGCATCAACATCATCCACCTCCGCAGTTTTGGCTCAGTTTGCAGTGCGGGCTTTTTGCTCAGTATGACGCCGGGACTCTTCTGGGAAATTGTGGGTGGAGCGGACAAGGGTGGCATCCTAGTCCGAGCGGGCAAAGAATTGAAATCTGAGGAGAAGTCAGGGCGCCTATCGCATGGAGCTCTCGTGAGAGAAATTGAGTTTTTCGAGACCAACGGGCGCCTCCACTATGAGATCGTCAAAGGGACTGGGCCAGAGAACGGCTGGGTCAGCATTCAGATCTCTGGAAAGGAGTTAGCTCGGCGGACAGCGGCTCCTTTCGAGGATGATGAAGCAGCACCAGAGGACATGCCAGAAGCCGAGTGGCGCATCCACAGACGCTGCAAAAGAGAGAGACAGAGAGATGTGCCGGAATGGAAACCCATCTCCATTGAACAGGTCATGAACAATCACACTCGAGTTGCTCCAGGCATGTTTTATGGCCTTCATTTTCCATGGAGCGAAGAGATGTTGCTGAGCTCCAAATTTGGCGCTGAGTGGCTCACTCAGGCCATGCACGTGGCAGGGACCTTGCCCATGGATAACAAGGTGATGAAGGTTTCGGCAGACCCCTTCAAGATCACCACAGGGAACAATGGAGGGAAATTCCTC